CGGCGGGCCAATCCAATCCATCTTATCTTACCCAATCCATCTCTTCCAATCCAACCCATCTTATCCTATCCTACCCATCTTATCCCACCCAATCCAATCCACCCAACCCAATCCATCAATTAATTTGTGTCGGCGCCTGCGGCGGGCTTTCTTATCCAATCCCGCTTATCTTATCCAATCCGTCTTGTCATATCCAATACGTCTTATCTTATCCAACCCATATTGTCCCATTTTATCTTATCACACCCAATCCAATCCATCCAACCCAATCCATAAATTCATTTGCTTCTGCGCCTGCGGCGGGCCAATCCAATCCATCTTATCTTATCCAATCCATCTCTTCCAATCCACCCCAACTGATCTTATCCAATCCATATTATCCCATCCAATCCAATCCACCCAACCCAATCCATCAATTCATTTTTGTCGGCGCCTGGGCGCGATCGCGGCAGATCAAGGTGACAGGCTGGAGGTCAGTCAGGGTGGGCATTTGATCTCAATCCCCCCCCAAACCTCCTTATCGCCCGCAGGGCGGTCGTATAGGTATGAGTATCCTCCTCTTCCTCCTCCTCCTCCTCCTCCTCCCTCTCCTCCTCCTCCTCCACCTCCTCATCCTCTTCCTCATCCTCATCCTCATGTTCCTCCTCATCATCCTCCTCCTCGTCCTCCCCCAGGAAGGGCAACAGCAGCAAATGCCTGACAGCCGACGTCGCGATGTTTGCTCACGACGCGGCTCCCCAGACGTCTGGGCACCCTTCCAAGGGACCACCGGCTGCTCCCCCCGAGCTCTTGCCGACCCCGGGGCCTGGTTGTGAGGGCCCCAGAGGCCGAAAGGCGCCCACGACTGGCTCCGGGCCCGAAGCAGGCCTCCCGAAACCAGCACGCACGCACGCAAACTTTCAACATACAAAAAAAACAATCCTGGCGAAGGACCCAACCGTATGCACTTGTGAGTGCCGCGTTGTAGGTACCGCTCTCGGTGGAGGTCCCTACGGGGCCACGGTCCTCGTGAGAGGTGTGCCGAAGTGGGCGGGGGGCGCAGGCGGACACTGCCGCGGGGGCTGGTGGAGCTCCCTATGGGGACACGATCCTCGTAAGGGGCGTGCCGAAATGGACGGGGGGACGCATGCGGACCCTGCCGCTGGGGCCTTCGGTGGAGCTCCCTATGGGGCCACGATCCTCGTGAGGGGTGTGCCGAGAGGGGCGGGGAACGCATGCGGACCTTGCCGCTGAGGCCTTCGGTGAAGCTCCCTGTGGGGCCACGATCCTCGTGAGGGGTGTGCCGAAATGGGCGGGGGGACGCATGCGGACCCTTCAGTTGGGGCCTTCGTGAAGGAGGAGGAGGGGGAGGAGAGGAGAGGAGAGGAGAGGAGAGGAGAGGAGAGGAGAGGAGAGGAGAGGAGAGGAGAGGAGAGGAGACCAGAGGAGAGGAGAGGAGAGGAGAGGAGAGGAGACGAGAGGAGAGGAGAGGAGAGGAGAGACCAGAGGAGAGGAGACCAGAGGAGAGGAGAAGAGAGGAGAGGAGAGGAGAGGAGAGGAGAGGACAGGAGAGGAACGCGGGGCGCTGTCTCTTCAAAACGAGGACCCAGCACCACAGGATGGCTGGGAAAAAAACAAAAAGAAAGAAGACGAACTCCGTGCTTTCCCGTGACGCCGGACGGCCTCTGCCCCTCCCCCCGGCTGTTCCCTTCCCTTCCCTCCTTCCTCCTGCTCCCCGGTTCCCGCTCCCCAGGCCCTGCCCCCAGGGAGGTGGCCCGGACGGGCCCTCCACTTGACGTGGGGCAGCCTTTTTTACACACACACACACATATATATATATATATATATATATATATATTAAAATTGTGGATGTACATACATAATGACTGTGTAGGCATAAAGATAAATACATAAATACAGAAATACACACATAAGTACTAAAAATACAAATGACAAACATAATAAGAAGACGATGAATTTAATATAAAAAGGAGCTTGTGGCAGAAGCGGCGCCGACTTAGGCGGAGTGAGAACTGGCCCTCCTCCTCCTGCATCCCCCCGTCCTGCTCTTCCAGGCACGGGCGCTGGGCCAAGCGCGGAGCGTGAGATGCGAACGGGAACCTGCATGGATCGTTCCGAGAACCCTGAACCCGAAATTGTTGCCATCTCTCGGGGGCGCATCTCTCACTTCCGCTGGCTTCCGCTGAAGGAGCCGCCATCGTTTTACGTTCGCCGCCGCCTTCCGCCGAGAAAGAGAAGGCAACTCCTTCGACCCTCGAAGGCGAGGCCCTTTTCTGGAGCGCCCAACGCGTTGGCATTGCCCCTATCTGGGTACGCCGCCACAGTGCCTCCACACTTCGGCAAAAGCATGTGGCCAAACTCCTGCCTTGGGGGGGCCGACGTGGTGCTCGACCTGAGGGTGCAAGAGGTACGGAGGAGGCCCGACCACCAGAAACCTTCAACCAGAAGCCCAACCCCGAGACCCCAGGACGTCCATGGATTTTTGTTCAGTGTGGGAACGTCACGCTTCCCATAGCAAACCCGTCGAAACCCAAGGAACACAGGGCACCCTGGAGGCAAGCAGGGTGTTTCTTGGCATGAGTCCCCACTGTACTTTAGGAGGCAACTACTGGGAGGTTTTCTTTCGTTGGAAGGATTAAAGAGGATTAAGCCCCATTTGGGAGCTGCTACGCTGGAGTGGGCCTCGGACTAAGCAGGATTAAGCCGGATTGAACGGGATTAAGCGGAATTGAGCCGGATTAAGCGGGATTAGGCCGGATTATGCCAGATTTAGCCGGACTTCGGACCAGGGCAAAATCAGAATTTGCCCTCCCAGGGGTTGCATCCGAATGTACTGGAGGCGCGGGCGGCGGAGCCGGCGTCGGAGGCTCGGGACCACGCGGGCGTTGGAGCGGGCACTGCACGAGCCGGGCAGACCGAACCGTCGCTGCTCTGCTGGGAGGTCGTGAGGTTACAGCGAGACCTGCAATCGCTCCGTCGTTACCATCCCCGTCCCCATCCCGCCCCTCCCTCCTCTCCACCTCTTCCTACGCCTCCTCCTCCTCCCTCTCATCCTCGTTCTCCTCCTCCTCCTCCCCCTCCCCATCCTCATCCCCAACATCATCCTCATCCCCACCATAATCCTCCCATAGGCAGGCGACAATGTGGTGCGCAAGTGGAAGCGGGCGCACGCAGCGCGCTGGTGGAAGCAGCGAGAACACTTGGAACAGCTCACCATCACACGCAGTGGAAGTTGCAAGGGCAGGGAAGACCAGATCATTGCCCTGACAACTCCAGCTGGGAAGCATGAATCTTGAACAGCCGCGGTGCACTGTAGTGGATGCGACTGGGAGCTAAAACGCTAACTGATTACCCTCTCCGTCATTATCATCCCCGTCCTTCTCCCCCTTCCCCTTCTCCTCGTCTCACGCCTCCTCCTCCTCCTCCTCCTCCTCCTCCTCCTCGCTCTCCTCCTCCTCCTCCTCCTCCTCCTCCTCCTCCTCCATCTCCTCATCCTCATCCTCATCCTCATCCTCATCCCCAACATCATCAGCACCAGCAGCAGATCCATCACCATCATCAACATCATATTCTGAACTCTCAACCCATTCCATCTTCATCGTGGTCGTCATTATCGTCATTGCTGTAGTCACATAAACGCCATGGTCGTCAGCATAATCATCACCATCGTCATCAACAACGTCACCGTCATCATTGTCATAATCATCACTAGTACGACCACCATGATCATCATCACCATGATCATACTCGCCATCGTTGTCATCGTCATCAGCGGCGTCATCAGCAGCGTCGTCGTCCTACCCCTTCGAGCCAGCACCGGTGTCCAGAGGTGCGGCTCGTAGATCCTGGGATTAGTCCACACTTACTAATCGCCACGAGACCCCAGCGGGTACAAGTCCCTATTTGCAGGAAAAGGAGGCGGAAGATGAGAAGGGCAGAAGAAAAAGGAATAGCCGCAACGACATCCTCGGATCCATGCCTGGAAACAAGCAAAAAGAAGGCTAGAAGAGGGGCGAGGGGGGAGGACGAGGCGAAGGAGGAGGAGGAGAAGGAGGAGGAGGAGGAGGACAAGGAGGAAGAGGAGGAGGAGGAAGACGAGGAGGAGGAGGACTGGAAGGAGAAGGGGGGGAGGAGGAGGAGAAGGAGGAGGGGGAGGTGAAGGAGGCAGCTCGCGTCATATCTGACGTCCTACTCCTCCCTCCAGTCCCTTACCATGGCGTAGATCCCCTCTCTATTCGCACAATCGGATGTCGTATCATGGCATAGCATTACACGGCATAGCATGGTGTCGAAGATCAACGCGTAGCATGAAATAGCATGGCGTGGCGACGCCCCAAAGTGGGGGGGGGCTTCTGCGGCCCAAAAAATCAACGAATCGGCACCGAATGTGTAATCACTTCCGATGGTTTCTTCGGGAGGCCATTTTCTAGATTTCGGGGCCTATTTGGAAGGACCGAAAGCCATGCTGGGGCATGGCACTCGAAATGATGACGCCAGCGCTGCAGCGGGAGCACGATTCGGAACGAGCGGAAGCGCGGACATGAGGCCAGCGTTTCAACGGGAGCACGATCAGGAACGAGCGGTAGCCCGAAAATGAAGCCAGCGCTTCAGCGAGAACAGCATTCTGAAAAAAAACGAGCGCGGAAGCGCGGAAATGAGGACGCGTAGCCTGAGATAGCATCGCGTGGCGACGTCCCAAAGTGGGTGGGGGAGCTTCCGTGGCGTTCTGTTCACCCTTTCTGAACCTCCAGGCGGCTCCTCGCCGCCACGGTTGAAACCCCGAAACAGGTCAGGGGATCGAATACTGACCCTGGGCCCTGGCATCCTCACGTCGCGAAAAAATCCAGACGCGAGGTTTTGACAGTTTTCGGCCTCCAGGCCAGGTTGCTTCTACCAGTCTCCAGGGCTGCCAGAATACGACTCGGAATGAGAAGCGTTGCAATTTTTCCACACTGGGCGTTCTCGCCCAGATTCGGTCCCCCCGCTCAAGTTCCACGCTGTGCCATGGCACGGCATGCCTGGCTACTACGCAATGTAGTGCAGTTTTACGATATGCTGCGCTATATCGGCCAGCCTTGGCCTCAAAGCCTCCCCGAGTCTGCGGGCGAAATGCTCCCCTGGACCCTGACGCATCGACCTGGCTTCTGACTACCTACCAGACCACCCCAACCCAACCCGAAGACCCGAGTTTGACCCGAATTTCGGCTTGGGGGGGTAAATACGGGTTCCATGTGTTTTTTCAATGTTCCCCGACCCCCACCCCACTGGAAATGGAGGGCAGATTGAGGTCTTCGAGTTGGGTTGGGGTGGTTTGGTGGGTGGTGAGCTTCAAAGCTTCCACACGAGGATTAGGTCGGGCATGTCCCCCTACAGGGGGATCTGGGACGAAAAATTAAACATACTACAAAAATACCCCCAAATGGCCCAAAAATTGTAATTATTGTTTTTTGTTTTATTTTATGTGTTTCTTTATATATAGATATAAATAAAAAACAAAAAAAAAAAAACAAAAAAAAAAAAAAAAAAAAAAAAAAAAAAAAAAAAAAAAAAAAAAAAAAAAAAAAAACGTTATTATGTTTATATATATGTACACAATCACATAAAACAAAACAAACAAACAAACAAACAACAACAACAACAAAAAAACGTCCCCGACTATGTTTTGACTACTTCTGAATACTCCCCCTGTAGAGGGACAGGCCCGACTTAAAGCTTCCACACGAAGATGCAGTCTGAGAAGCTCCAGTCGTGACTTCCCTTGCGCAGGGGGCCTCTCTCCGGGGCCCTGGACCTGGCCGCCGCCGCCGCTCTTTCCCCCGAAGCGCCGACCGCGACATCTCTGACGTCCGGAAATCTACCAAAATTTCGGTCGGCACCCCAAGGGGGGGGTCCCAGGGGGAGTCCTTTTCCTCCTCCTTCTCTTTGTCCTCCTCCTCCTCCTCCTCCTCCTCCTCCTCCTCCTCCTCCTCCTCCCCCTGCTGGTCGTCGTCGACGTCTTTCAGGGTCGGCGGCACTGGCCGTCAGGCCTTCACAATCTATGAAAATTTCGGTTGCCGCCCACGTCATAAAGATCTTTCTAAAAAGAGGAAGGGAACGAGAGCACAAAGCCTCACCCCACTCGGCCTCGAGCGCCGCGCGAACCACAAAAGGTCACCAGGCAAACCGGAACACCACACGAGCCGACCTGCGATGGGCAAGCACATGCGCTGAACCGTGGCCTGAAGGATGAGCGAGCGTGCCGCATGCGAAGAGAGAGGACCGAGCGAGAAGGAAAGAGCGCTGGCGCCCACGTCCGAAAGCCTGGCTCATCGATGCTCCTCTGTTACGTTGCACATCTGAGGAGGCTCGTCTGTTCCATCGCACCGCTATTCGCGCCGAATCCGCGTCGAACCCACGAAGGACACGCCGCGTCCGCGCCACATGAGCATGGAACCCGCATCGAACCCGCGTCGGACACAAGAAGACCGCCACTCACAGCACAGGTAAGGCCCCGAAATTGCAGCGTGCCCCGCCCAGGAACATCTGAGCCCCCAAAAACCATGCCATTTCTCAGGGGCGCCTCTTGTACCATCACCGTGCTACCGCCAGGAGCGCTGCAAATCAGCAACGAAGGGGCTTCTCTGGCCACGTGGCGAGCCTCGGTCCCCAGACCTAGCTCTGAGGAGCGGCCCGAAACGAACACCCACAAGCCCCCTGGCCGTGCTTCCGCCGGCCTTCCGCTGGCCTTCCGCCGGCCTTCCGCCCACGGACCCGCCGCCGCTTCCCCGCCGGCGGCCTCCGCCGGCCCCTGCGCACGGGACAGACGAGTCGTTGCACCGGCCTGGCAGACGTGCTGCAGCGGATTTCTGCGTGGAGTTCTGCGTGGATTCCTGCCCGAAGCGGCGAGCGAAAAACGATGTGAATTTCGCGTGGGTTCTTTCTGGTCTTCATCCCTGGCCACAAAAAAAATCCGCACGAAACTCACCTCGAGATCCGGAACGCAATTCTCCAGGACACCCCGGGCCCACCCTGTCGTTTTCCGAACGACATCCGCTCTGCGATGTTGGCGCCATGAGTGAAGGGGCCCTGGGACACACAAATAAATACACACAAATAAAAGGATTCCCCATATTTTCCCATATTTTCTCGGTTTCTGTCTTCTCCCCCCACTGCCCATATTTCCCCATATTTTCTCTGGAATCGACGATTAATTGTGTCTGTGTATGTTTTTTCCCTCCTGAATGAGACGAGCGCCCCCCGAGGTGGCAGTGTGACCTCTGCCCTGCCCGAGCGTGGCGCCAGAGGGACGACGAAAGGGCCGCGCACGGGCCGAGCCTGTCGCCCCGGGCCCAGTAGCGGATGGCGTGGTTGTGCCTGCCGGTCTTCTGGTACGCCACGCGCCCCTGACGGCTCCTCCTCCCTCCTTCCTTCTCCTTCCTCCTCCTCCTCCTCCTCCTCCTCCTCCTCCTCCTCCTCCCTCCTTCTCCTCCTCCCTCCTCCTCCTCCTCCTCCTCTCCCTCCTCCTCCTCCTCCCTCCTCCCTCCTCCCTCCTCCTCCCCCTCCTCCTCCTCCGCCTCCGCCTCATCCTCCGCCTCCTCCTCATCGTCGCCACCACCCCCATCATCATTCACCCGTCTTGGTCAAAAACTAATTCCTCCTCGTCGCACCGCCAGATTTACCAGTTGGGCGGGCGAGTGGGCGGGCGAGGCGTTTCGCTTGAGACCTCCCCGCTGCCTATGACCATCGAGCTTGACACTGCCAACATCTAGAAGGATGGAGGGCGGGTGGAATCCAAAATCCAGCACTCGTCTGAGCGCCGAATACCTCTGCGATAAACGCTTCCGACAGTTGCACAGGCTGAGGGCAGCTCAGGTGCAGCATGCGGCTCTCGCCTTCTTGCAGCAGTTACACGGGTGGAGGGCAGCATATGTTCAAGAATGGGTTTCAGCAGGAGGCTTTCCAGAGTTTTCGTCTGACGCTTGAAAATGCGCATGGGGTGCACGGATGGAAAGCGCTTCCTTGTCAAAATGGGTTTCCCGCTTTATCTTCCCTTTGGCCGTACCCCCCCCATCCCTTCATTATCCTTCTCATCCTCCTGGCCATCCCTCCTCCATCACCCCTCGATACTGCTCCAAATATCCCTTCTCCAAGTATCCCTCCTCACCCAAGTACTTCTTCCTTCTTACCATCAAGATCACCAGACTCATACGGCTTCCCCCAGTACCCCAGACCATCATCATCCGTCATCCCTCCTCCTCCCCCATCACCCCAGTGGAAATACGAATCGTGCGTCCTTCTCCTCTCTCCCAGAGCTCCTCCTGGTCATCATCCGTCTCCTGTTTACCAGCATCTTCTGTTTCCGATTGCAACACCACCATCAACAGCAGCAGCATCAGCCTCATCAACATCAATATGGTCATTGTCGCCGTCATCCTGAAGATGATTCGCGGTATCATCTCCATCATCCCTCCTCCAAGCTTCCTCCTTGCGCATCCATCATCCCCCCTCCCTGCTCCATTGTATTATCTTCCCTCCTCCTCCTCCTCCACCGCATTCCCTTCCCACCTCCTCCTCCTCCTCCTGATATATAATACTCTTGCCTGCTCTTCAACTCCGTCATTATCTTCCTCCCGCACCCCACTCTATCCGACTTTTAGTAACTGTACAATTCCTCGTCCTTGCTCCTCCTCCCCCTCCTCCTTCTCATCCTCACCATCCTCAACATCATCATTACCATCATCATCCTTCTCATCATCATCATCATCATCAGCATCACCATCAGCATCACCATCAGCATCATCATCATCATCAACATCATCGTCATCGTCATCGTCATCATCATCATCATCATCATCATCATCATCATCATCATCATCAGCATCAGCATCAGCATCAGCATCATCATCAGCATCATCAGCAGCATCATCATCCACATCTTCATCAGCATCAGCATAATCAGCATAATCATCAAAATCAGCACCGACATCAGCATCATCAACATCGTCAGCAGCATTATCATCAGCAACATCACCATCAACAGCATCATAGTCTGCAGCATCATCATCAGCCTTGGCATCTTCAGCAGCAGCAGCATTATCATCAGCATCACAACCACCACCGCCAACAGCATCATGATCGCTATCATCACCGCAATCAGCAGCATCGGCAGCATCCACATCATCAGCACCATTATCATGATCGTCACCATCATCACCATCACCAGCATCATCATTGGCATAATCATCAACATCCTCAACATTACCAGCATCAGCAACAGCGACACCGTCAGCATCAGCATACTGGTCATCATCATCGCCAGTATCATCATCATCATCATCATCATCATCATCATCAGCAGCAGTAGCAAAAATCATCATAATAATTGTCATCAGCATCATCATATATAGCACCCTCCTCATCATCATCATCATCACCATCAAGATCATCATCATAATCATCATCATCATCATCATCATCATCATAATCATCATCATCATCATCATCATCATCATCATCATCATCATCATCATCATCATCATCATCGTCAGCAGCATCATCATCAGCATCATCGTCGTCATCATCATCAGCATCTTCATCATATTCAACATCATTAACAACAGCATCAGCATCAGAACCATCACCGACATCATCATCATAATCATCATCATCACAATCATCACCATCATCATCATCATCATCATCATCATCATCATCATCATCATCATCATCGCCATCATCATCAGCAGCAGCAGCAAAAACGGCATCATCTGCATGAACACCACAAACAGCGTCATCCGCATCATCATTATCATCATCATCATCATCATCATCATCATCATCATCATCATCATCGTCGTCATCATCATCAGCATCAGCACCAGCACAGCAGTTCAGCATCATCATCAGCAACAGCATGATCAGGAGCAGCGTCGGCAAAATCATCAGCAGCAGCAGCAGCAGCAGCATCATCACCGTCGTCGTCGCCATCGCCATCGTCATCGCCATCGTCATCTCGATCATCATCATCATCATCATCATCATCATCATCATCATCATCATCATCATTATAATCATCATCATCATCATCATCATCATCATCATCATCATCATCATCATCATCTTCATCAGGAGCAGCGTCACCCTCATCATCATCATCATCAGCATCAAAATCATCAGCATCATCATCATCATCAGCAGCAGCAACATCATCGTCGTCGCCATCGCCATCTTCATCTCCACCGTCATCTCGATCATCATCAGCAGCAGCATCGTCGTCATCATCATCACCACCACCATCATCATCATCATCATCATCACCATCCACATCATAATCAGAAGCAGCATCATTGTCAGCATCAGCATCAGCATCAACATCAACATCAACATCATCAAGAGCATCATCTTCATCAAGATCGTCGTCATCGTCATCCATCGCCAACAACAACATCATCATCATCCTAATCATCGTCATCATCATCATCAGCATCATCATCATCATCATCATCCTAATCATCAGCATCATCATCATCATCATCCTCATCATCATCATCATCATCATCATCATCATCATCATCATCATCATCATCATCATCATCATCTCCCTCCTACCTCTCGTCATCCTCCTACTCCGTCTCGTTATCTCTGGCTTCTTTTCTGATCGGGGCGGGGGGAAGGGATGGGGAGGGAGACGGAAGGGAGGCACCCGTACCCCGTGCGAGCGGAATACCGGCTTGGGCGGTCTGCGCCGAAAGGCGCTTCGAAGCGAATCGCAGCCGAAGCCGAAGCCAAAGATGAAGTGCACCGAAACCGGTCCTCCTCCCCAGGGGGGGGGGGCCCAGTGGGGAGTCCTCTTCCTCCTCCTTCTCCTCCTCCTCCTCCTCCTTATCTCCGCCTTCTCCTCCTCCTCCTCCTCCTCCTCCTCCTCGTTCTCCTCCTCCTCCCCCTCCTGGTCGTCGTCGATGTCTTTCAGGGTCGGCGGCACCGGCCGTCAGGCCTTCATAATCGCAGCTGAAGCTGAAGCCGAAGCCAAAGCTGAAGTGTACAGAAAAAGAAAGGCACACCCTGCATTCTCGACTAGCAGCACGTCGGTGAGCGATGCTGAAACCTCCCTTAAGCACAGGCGCCCCCCCCCGAGCAGCAGCCAGACGAGACGGGTTTGCACCCTCATGCCTCGCTGAACTCCGAGCGCGTTTCGACACTGCCACTGCCACCGCCATCCCCTCGTCCGGGCGACCGACTCGGGCAACGGCGACGGCAACAGTGGCCATGGCCAACGCGTTCACGCCGGGCGAAGTGGTCGTAGAGTGGTAGAGGGGAGGAGGGAGGCCGAGCGGTGAGGGAAGAAGGGAGCAAGGGAAAAAGTCAACGAGGGAAGGGGAAGGGGAAGGCGAAAGATACCCAGCCATCCGATGTCATGATGTTGCGTGTGAAGTGGGCTGGACCTGCCAGCATCCAATCGGTAAAACTCGGGTCGGAACCAGCGTCGGTCGCATCGGGCTACATCTGTACGGAGTCGGAATCGACTCGGATCGGCCGCGCCAGGATGCACAGCAGCGCCATGCGAGCATCGGGCCTCATCTCCATTCTGGGTAGCTTGGTGATGGTCGTGAGGCGTGGGGACCGAAACGGACCTCCATAGGCAAAACACAATCTGAAAAACTGACCGTCGCGATATGTCCATGACTCCAGAGGCCTGGGCTCACCCCTTCGAGTTCGACCCACGGGCCTGTCCTGGGGCACATTATGGCTGGAACGCTTGCGCGGATGCAGGGTGTGGCGGAGGGGGCGCCCCCCAAGGCATACGTAAGCGATCGAAAACCTAGATCCTCGAGTTGGGGACGGAGAGGCCAAGACATCCCACGTCGCGCTCTTGTTCACAGCGTGGCTCCCCAGAGGCCTGGGCCCCCTTCCCTGGAACCAGTTTTAGGAGAGCTCCAAGCAATAGACCACCACCAGCCCTGGCAACGCCCATCCTGGACCCCGGACTGGCATACAGGCCCTCCCGGCCTAGGCTTAGGTCGAGCATGTCCCCCTACAGGCGGATTTTGGACGAAAGAATCAAAATACCCCCCCCCCCCAAAAAAAATACCCCAAAATGGTCGAATAATCATCCCCAGATTATCGTGGACTATTTCCGAATACTCCTCCTGTAGAGGGACACGCCCGACGTAAGCCTAGGCCCAGAAATCCACACACACCCGTCCGGGGTGGTGCATTGCTGGCGCCCCATCCGAAGCTGCTCGTCCCGAGCCGCTGCTGGACGGCCCCGGAGCCTGGCCGAGGGCCCCGGGAGGCCGACAGCCGACAGCCGAAGCCACCCGAGGGTCAGGTCGGGCACGTCCCCCGACAGGCGAGGCGGCTCGGTTCTTGGGCGAGAAATCAAAAGATACCCCGAACCAAAAAATCAAGCATCTTTTTTGTTCCCGGTTTTGTTTGTTCCACCCGAGAGTGTCGCGAGGAGGCCCCGCTTATGGGCCACAGCGCGGGCCTCCGGCGGCCGACCAGTTCAACTACTGCGCGGC